TTGTTGACAGCAAGAGCAAACTCTGAAACAGAGGTGGGTACCTTAAAAATAACAGAATTGCCAAGGAAGAAATTAGCAGCGTCACACCAACCCACTGGGAATAGACAGTGGCCCGTGAGGACCCCATGCTGAATCAAAGCTAATCAAAGATGATCACGGGAGGATTGACAGTGTGGACCCCAGGCCAGGCAGACCTGATTCGGGTTGTGGCTCTGTCCCTTACGAACTCGGGGGCAGAGGACAAGTTCACGATCCTCTCTCTTTCGTCTCCCACGTCTCTAACAGGGACGGAACTCTGCCTCCTGAATATCCCGGTGAGAACGAAGCCCTCTGCTTAGGGACCCCACTTCCCTGTGAGCCAGCTGCAAGTGTATTGGTAGTGGGATGTGAATGCTTAATTTTTCTTACAAGCATTTTACTGTTTTTTTAAAGTTGCATTTATTTGAAAGGCAGAGAGAGAGAGAGAGAGAGAGAGAGAATCTTCTATCCACTGGTTCATTCCTCAAATGCCTGCCACAGCCAGGGCTGGCCCAGGCTGAAGCCAGGAGCCTGGAACTCCACCCCAGTCTCCATGTGGGTGGCAGGAACCCAAGTACTCGAGCCATGATCTGCTGCCTCCCAGGGGGTGCACTAGCAGGAAGCTGAAGTTGGAAGTGGCAGCAGGACTGGAACCCTGGCACTCCAATAGGGGATGAAGCTGAACCTCTGCCCCACAACGCCCGCCCCAGGGGTGGCTTCCTCGTAAATCACATGATTGCTGGGTTACTCAAGTCATAAGCAATCAAGGATGTGTGTGTGGTTACATCAACAAAAAACCTTTCACATACCATGTGCAGCAGCTCTGTCCCGCTGAGCCCGAGACGAGGCTCCTCTTTGAATCTGCATCGTCCTGAACCGATTTCCCAGGGCACCTGGTGGCAGCCCACTCCAGGCACAGGGAGGGGAGGCAGGTGGTTCTCAGACTGCAAAGGACTCTCTTTGCTTCCTCTATTCCGAAACAGAGGTGCAAGCATCCCAGCGGCCTGGGGACAACTGTGTGGACCCCCGCCACATACGTGGCCGACCATTGAGTCTCAGTTTCCCTCTGTTTCATGTCCCTAAATACTGAACACACACACAAAGCATTCAACATATCTCAAGCTTTCTGAGTCTCCAATGATAGCTACCAAGGAGCCCTGGCCTAGAACTCACCTCTGCACCCCTCTATATACTCTTTACTGTGTGAAAACAAACTGAGAAAGGCTGTGAAAACCATCTTCACTTACACCCTGCTCTAAGTTCATGCTGGGAGACTTAAACAAAACTGAATCTTTAACTCAACCCCTCATAGCAAAAAAAAAAAAAAAAAATACTATTTACTTTTCTTGCAAACGGACCATTTACTAGGGTAACACAAATGGCTTTCTCTCTTGAGATGTGTACATGTGACTTTCCCCCCTCCCCTGGCCAAACTTCCAAAAGCTAAACATCTAACAAAATGACTGATTTTGCTCTGGTTTGAAAACACAAAAAAACCTTGTACCTCTCATCAAGCAGAACTCAAGAGCTCTGGATCCTACGCCCACTTTGGCTGTGGCCTCTGCAGGGTGGCCTTGCGAACCCCTCCACTTTTCTGCTCTCGGTCACTGGTGGGGTGGGGTGGGGAGAGGGGGAGGGAGAGGAATTGATCTGAAACCCATCCAGCCCTGAAATCCTATGACTCCAGATCAAAACACGGGTAAACAATGGCAAGATTTCTGTTTTGAAAAATATTTTAATATTGACTCAAAACCTGGGTCCTGAGCTACTCAAAGGAAAGCCCCCGGCCTCACTCCCGCCAGCAGGGGCGGCTCTTGCCTTGCTCACCGATGCCTTTGGTGTGGTAACATCCCCACCTGCTGGAACTTCAGGTTTTCGCTGCTAAAGGTGCACACAGGAGAGGTCTGGGTGGGGGCTCTGTGGCCTCCCCCGAAGCCAGGAGCTGGTGAGTAGCTCCTCCTCTCCCCGCTGGTTTTTGAAGGGGAGGAGCCCAGCTCCCCTTCCACCCTGCACATCATGGGGTGAGGCTTCCCAGGGCCCTGGGGGATGACTAAGAAACCCCCAGAAGTGGGCACCAGGTTCGTCAGATTTTCCGCTCTTCTCTGAAAGATGAGCCTTGGCCCTGCCCTCGGAGCCTCGGTCTCAGGGATATAGTTAACACCTCTGGGACGGCGGCCTTGGGACCACAGCGGGAGTCTGAATATAGCTGGGCTTTGGCGTGGGCAGACACAGGCCAGGAGGTGGAGGCCGTGGGAAGGCGACCCTTCAACAGTCCCCCGCCCGTCAGCCCCAGGCCCTGAAATTGGTTTGCGGAGTCACCAATGAGGGCCGAGCCTGATTCTGGCCAAGATCGGGTCCTGCGCTCTCATCGCAGACTGAAGGAAGTCAGAGAGAGGCTTCAGTTCTGCCTCTGTCCTGCCTCCAGACGTGCAGAGGGGCTGGCGCTGTGGCGCGGTGGGCTAAGCCTCCGCCTGTGGTGCGGGCATCCCATATAGGCACAGGTTCTAGTCCTGGCTGCTCCACTTCTGATCCAGCTCCCTGCTAATGCACCTGGGAAGGCAGCAGAAGATGGCCCAAGTGCTTGGGCCCCTGTCATCCATGCAGGAGACCTGGGTGGAGTTTCAGGCTCCTGACTTCAGCCTGGGCCCACCCCAGCTGTTGCCACCATTTGGGAAGTGAACCAGAGAATGGAAGACCTCTCCCCCTGTCCTCCTCTCTCTATACCTCTGCATTCCAAACAAATAAATCTTAAAAAAAAAAAAAAAAAAAAAAAAAAAGACATGTGGAAGTCAGGGCTCCCCTCTGGGCCTCTCAAACAGGGGAGAGGGTTCCTGGGCTCTCTGCCTTGCTCTCCGGTTCCGCATGTCGCCCAGGTCCCCTCAGGTCGCGTAAAGCCTCCTGCCCCTGCAGCTGTCTGTTGAACGCTCCCACCTCCGGTTCCACGGCCCCCAGAGGCCATTCTGGAGGTCTTGGAGCTGCGTGTGTCTGAGCTCTGGGCTCCAGAGAGGGTGTAGCCCCAGTCCCCGAGGAAGGCTGGCCAGAGCTGATGTCAGCCTCTTGCCGTGCAATCAATAGGCGCTAGAGCCAAGCGCACTGGGCACCCTTCCCCCAGGCCTCCCCACCCGTCCGCCAGACCACTGCTCCCGTCTCCCCACCCTGCGTGGGCCCTGGCCTCAGGCAAATCCCTGTGCAGAGTGCAACAGCACACAGCAGCCAGGTAAATGCGCAGTGAGCAGAGCAGCCTTCCTGTCAATGGCAACTCTGCCAGCTCCGCCCTCCCGTCGCCTCTCCCGAGTCAGCTCAGGAACTGCTGCCAGACCTCTGCGGCATGCGGGCAGGGTTTCTGATCTCCTTTGCAAAGGTCATCTTGCCACACAGCTCCTCCCTTGCTGCCCACCCTGCTGGTGGCCGTTACTTCTTTCTCAGAGCTATGTGCCACAGTCCGTCTCGGTCACCTTGGCAGCATTCTGCCTGGCCCAGCCGGCACACGGGGCAGGGGCCTGCAGAACCCTGAGCACAGCTCTCGGCACCCAGCCCTTTAGATAAGCGTGACCATCACTTCCGGCTCCCAGCCTTAGCTTCGGAAGGCCTTTCTGGCTGCACCTGGCCACCTCAACTGCCCAACCCCTCGCAGGCAAGCCCTCTTGAGGGATTCCGGATGGTGCCAGAAACACCGTGGACATACAGCTTGCTTTGTGGATGGCAGCGTCTCCGGCGAGGGGACCGTGGCGAGTCGAGGACAAGCGTGGGCCCTTCCTTGGTTTCCCCAGGTGTGTCCCTCACTTCAGAGGACAAAGCGCCGAGACGTGGCATGCTTCCATCCATCTGATCCGAAAGCCCTGCCCCCTGGAAGGAAGTAGGGGGTACTTGAAGGCGGGAGGGGCCTTGGGGAAGGGTCCTTTTCAGGAGCGAGTCTCCTTCTGGTGCTGCGTGACAGGGATGCAGGCGTGACTTGAAGGACCCACTGACACCCTGGAAGACCAGCCTTGGCAAGACCCCCGATCTGGGTCCTCCTGCTTGTACTTCTGCAGGGGTCCCCGTCCCTGAGTGTCCACAGGAGAACCCAAGAGGCAGGTGCTGTCTCCTCTGGCCTCAGCCCTGCATCCCAAGCAGGGCACACATGCCTGAGGAGACGACCTGCCTGTTCCCTATGCGGACCGCCACATTAGTTGGGCTTTGTGTATTTCAGGACCCAAGAACGTGGGGGTTTTAGAAACTCAGCCAGCTAGCTCTCTTTCTTCTCGTCCAGCACTCTCTCTGAAGATTCTCCATGTAGCCCTCTGAAGGGAAAAACACCCTAGAATACAGCAGCACAACTTGAGAGACCTGTTTCTTGTGCACAGGTCAGAGGAGACCTGCAAGACACCCAATCCTGCCCTGGGCGGGCTGCCAGTCACACAGGTCTCCAGGCTCACTGCTCAGATCATGGCAGAGGAAGAGAACGAAAATGATGCCACGTTGCCTCTGAGCAACTCCCTGTACAGCACCCAGCAAAGCGAGGCATTTTCTTTAGCAAGAGTCTCTGATGATTTTAGGAAATACAAGTGGGCTTCAAAACATTCATGGAAAAATACAATTAAAAGTTAATGTGTCAGAATTAGTGAATGACATGGAATAATACTAATTAGTGCTTACTGTGTCCTAACCAGGTGTCCAGGCACTTTACATGGATTCTTACAACATCTCTACAAGGCAACGACTCTTATTATCCCCATTTTCACAGATGAGAAAAGTGAGGCCAGTGAGTGAGGCAGACAGAAGAAGCCTCCGGATCTACCCACAAAACCACACAGCTCATCCCACTCTGGAAACACAGCCCATGGAGTATCTCCTGCTGGGCCACTGGAGCCCTAAAAACAGGGAGGGGGGCTTGATCTAAGCTCATGGCTCCAGACTCAGGAACCTCAAACTTGTGGGGTTGCTTGGGCCACAGGTCCACCTGCATCACCCCAGTACCCAGTGACCCAGTAGAATTTCCTTACTGCTGTCTCCAGCTCTGTCTCCTCTGTCTCCTTTCTCTCCTTTTGGGCCTCGGTCACCTAGAACAGAGGAGAGAAAGTAGCATTAGCAATGGAAATAAATCCTAATTGTGAATAAAAAGATATCTGCTGAAGACTTAACCCAAGAGCAGAGAACCCCTCAGGCAGGAGCCGGCAGCAGTGCAGGTGACAGCAGGGAAGACAGCACAGATCCAGTTAAGCCACCTGCTCTGTGACCCCAGGAAGCGGGGATGCAGCCAAGGGAGACTTGTCCCCTCCTCATTAAAGCATAGAAAAGCGGCGTCTACAACATAAACGCGACAAGTGCATGGTAGTCAGCTGGAAGAAGGTAAAGGAAAGACACTCCTATTAAAGAGTCAAGGTTTAGATGTCCACATCCAAGATTGTTCCAAGAAGGCGCTTCAGTGATATTAGGAGAGGCATGTTATGTATCAGGCAGGTCTTCCTGTTGGGGAGACTATAAACCATGAGTGAGAGTTGCCTTGGAATTGTGGGATTTCCTTTCCAGGATGTGGTTAAGAGAAAAGAGCTCTTTCCCCAGCTGGCATCTGATCCCACAAGGATGCAGAAAGTCCTGGCAGCGCTCGGTGGACACTGAAATGACGAGGGAATTCTAGTGCAAGGATGTCTAGAAAGACATCTGCAGATCAAATGCCAGAGCACACTGGCAAGAAAAGCCAAGTCAGGAAGTTCTAAGGGCCTCTCATGTTCTTTCCGTAGACTCCCTACTCTCCACTTGTTGTATTGAAAACTAAGAAAAAAATCGTTCCTTCCTAGGGAATGTCTCAGATGGTCTGTTAGATGCCTAAGGTGATCAAAGTCTTGACAAACAAAACAAAACAAAACAAAAGCAGACAACCACATACGTGTATGAGAGTGCTTTGAGAAATGTCTGGCAGGATGTGCTCCAAAGCATTCACAGTGATTATTCTGAAGAGTAAGAGGTAAAGGGATGGGAGAAGAGGACCCACTTTTTTTCCACTTGATCCTTTGTATGCTTATTTATTATCTAATTTTTGTCAACAAACATGAAGTGCTTTATAAACTGTTATAAGATTCATTTTGTGAAATAAGGAAAACCTTAGCCTGTCTCATCGCCAATCACAAAGCAGAACAAAATTTTCCAGGGATCCAAGGTCAAGAGACCATCAGAGACATTCCCTAGGGTGGAATGATTTTTTTCTTAGTTTTCAGTACAACAAATGGAGAGTAACAAGCCTTGGAAAAGGGCTTCAGACGTCCAACCTTCTGCAGTGGCGCAGGAGGTCTGAACTGTGGGGAGCAATCCGGACTAGACTAAGTTACTGGAATTAAGACTTATTCTATGCATCTGCTCTCCTGTGGGGAGCAACCCGGACTAGACTGAGTTACTGGAATTAAGACTTATTCTATGCATCTGCTCTCCCACAATATGGCGCTGGGAGAGAAGTAAACAGCTTCCGCACAGCTGCCTCCAGTTCAACCAATTAACTGTAGGACTTGCTCCTGATTGGAGAGCAGCGTACTCGGCGTGTGGGCAGCCGAGTTGGGATTGGCAGAGAAGGACTATAAAGGAGGAGAGAAACGGCATGCACCAGGAACATCTATGGGGAACATCTAAGGGAACCCGTGCAGCCCCCGAGAGAACCGGCCGGTGGTGTGCCGCTCCCCTGCGGAAGTGGGGAATGTGGCCAGGGGGAACTGCCCTTCCGGAGGTGGAAGGGATAGTAGCCAACCCGGGAAGAACCAGCAGCAAACCCGGGGAGGGCCGAGCAGACGAAAGAACAGCGCAGGGTCCTGTGTCGTTCCTCCACGAAGAGGGGGAGCGACATGAACAATCTTGGAAAAGAAAAAAATGGGAAAAGATAGGGACTAACTATAAAGTAGATACCCTAAACATGAACAAGGGGACTATTCAGAGGAAGAAAAAAAATGTCAGAAGAAACATTTTTGGCAATGAAATTTGAGAAGTAAATTAAAGTGGCAAGTGCTAGAGGAATAAAAAGAGTATTAGAGAGATCAGGAACCTGGCAGTGCCGCCAAGACAGAGCTGTTCTGGGCCTGCATCCCCTTTGTCCTGCAGGCTAACCCTCTGGCTCCTTCTGGTTACATCTCTGGGCTGCAACCAGCAGCAATGCTCCCTCGCATTTCTACAAAGGCTTCAGTATGCATACCATTTCCACACCTATTTGCTTATTTATGCCTGGTAAAAGGCCTGTGAAATACGGTACCAGGAGAATGTCTCCTTTTTAGATGAAAAACTGATGCTGAACAAGAGGAAGTGACATGCCCAGAGTTGGTCAACCAGTCAGGGCCAATGCCCTCGTGCTACCCAGGAGCTGGTGGTGAGATGTCACTGGGTGCACTCAAGCTGATTATTACCTTTGAACCCACGCATGCCCATTGGTCCTGTGGCCCCCAGCTTCCCGTCATCGCCCTTGGGGCCAGGCAGTCCCGGGGTTCCTCTCTCCCCTGGCAGACCTGGGGAGGAAAGAGACAATGGTAGAGCCTCAGACTAAGAACTGGAAGGACACTTCAAGGTCACAGTCAGGTTCAATGGGTGACTGCGACCACACATCCTCTACAGCCTCTGCTGCCTGATTCTTCTCAGCTGATTTAAAGATGCTGCAAAAGCAAAATCAAGCAGGGAGCAGACCTTCCCTACGAACACCTCTTAGTGCTGGGCCCAGACGCGGCCGCCCCCCCGCACTGAAAGCTATGAGTAGCGGTGGTGCCTGCACGTCTGGAGACGTCTCTTTCCCTGCGCACACTGGACAGTGAGTTCCAGCAAATGCTCTTCTGAGCAGAGTGTTAGAGGCAGGCTCTGAGCCCCGCTCTTCCAGAAGCTTCCAGGCGGTCAGCATCACCTCCCGATCCCTGGCAGTCAGGGAGGTCAGGAAGAAGTAGCTTCCCCTCCTAATTAAGAAAGAAACAAAAAGACCTCTGAGCCTCTGCAAACACAGGGAGGTATAGCAGAGGGGCCGGAGGCTGACGCGGATGAAGTCTGCAGGGTCAGCGAGTGGGATCAGGCCCCAGAGCTCCAGGCGCTGAGGCCCCACGGCCTGCATCGCACCACCAAGAGCCAGAATCAACAAATGCTTTCACTGAGCGAGAGCTCCAGGGCCCCCGAGGCCTGGCCCGAGCCACAGTTATCTCTGCACAGCAAAGCATCCTTCACCCTCTGACTAATTGTTCTTTCCTACTTGGAAAGTGAGTTGGTTTTCTCTGGGCTTTTCCAGACTCGGGGAGAAGCTCGTCTCCCAGGAGTTCTTCTTCCAGTGCTAACGTCAAGTGGCTGGAAGCAGGGCCCCGGGAGAGTGGGAGGACCCCAGAGAGGGCTGATTAAATTTCCTTCTTTTCCGTCCTAATATGATGTATCTATTCCCAGAGTCCAACGGCCCTGTGGCCACAAGGCTTCCAGGGCAGGATGTGCCCAAGGCTCTCCACCCTATGATTCATTAGGCAGAAAAAGTGATCCCGCAGCTCTGCGAGCCCCTAGGCTGAGTTTGGGGGAGGGGAGGCCAGGATAGGAGGCGTGGCTGGGGGCTCTCTCTCCTCCCTCGCCAGGTTTGCAGCTTCCTTACAGGTTTAGGAGAGAGCTTGGTGTGGGGGTCTAATTCCCAATAACCAGACACCGTTCCCCTTATCACCTTTCCTTCCTGTTCACTCCTAGGACAATGCTGCCTGCAGTTCAGGCCCAGGAGTGGACAGGGCAGGATAAAGTAAGTGGGGAGACACTGGGTCGAAGAAGAACATTGTCTTTCCAGAAGGCCCCCAAAGGACCGTCTCCACCAGCCACCGAGTCCTCAGGGCTGTCCCCGTGCATCGTGGGCTGTGCGGCCAGGCGGAGGTATCAGTTGCCGGCTGATTCAGGGAACAGAGGGGGGCCACAGCATGCCCAGAGGGTGGCTCTGGACCACAGAGACCCCCTACGCCCTCTGAAGGCCATGGTCACATGAGCCCTGACTCTGGGGTGCGTGGAGGTGGAGGCAGTGGCTTCAGGGAGCCACAGGCCTCTCATGCAACATTTTCCTTTGGATCCTGGCACTTTCTAAGAAAAAGCGTGTGCCCCATCCCACAGCCAGGCCAACAGCCTGCTGGGCGCCTACGGGACACAGCACTGGAAGCTGAGCTGGTTGGCCACTCTCCCAGGAGCTCCGCCACCTATGCCAGTGGGAAAGGAGAGAGGGGGCTGGGGTCGATTTAGGGGTCTTCCTCAGGTCCTGCCCAGGGGTCCCCATTACCTCGAAGTCCAGGTAATCCAGGGATGCCGGGTTCGCCCTCCTTCCCTTCATTCCCGGGGTCACCTTTGGGTCCTGGTGGCCCTGGAAGGGTGAAGACAGCACTGAGGTTAGAGCTGATGTGAGATGATGACATCTAACTAAGATTAGATGTCCCGGAGCAGGACGTCCCCGGGGGAAATGAAGATCCTCTCTCTATAAGAGGAAGGGTTGGGAGTACACAGGGTGCCACCTAGCCCAGTCTTAGGGGAAATCCGTGAAGGCTTCCTGGAGGAAACCATAGCCAAAGGGAAATCTCAAGACAGAATAGTAGTTACCCCAGTAAAGACCAAGTGGGAGTGTGTGATGGACTGCATTTGTGTTCCCTGCGCCCAAACACCTATGTTGAAGCTGTCACCCGCAATGGCATGGGTTTGGAAGTTAAGAGCTTGGGAGGTGATTAGGTTTAGATGAGGCCATAAGGGCGGGCGCTCATCAGATTAGTGACTGTAATAAAAGCCAACAGAGGGTGCTCTTTCTCCCTGTCCTTGCTAGGAGGAGATGGCAAGGAGGTGACAGGCTGCCAAGTCTGCAACCCAAGAACAGGCCCTCACCGGAACCCAGCTATGCTGGCGCCCTGTTCTCAGGCTTCTGGCCTCCAGAGCTGTGAGAAACAAGTGCCTGTGGTTGAAGCCACTCAGCTCTGCGGGGTTTTATTCGGGCTGACGAAGACAGAGTGAAAAAGAGAGTTCTGAGCAAGGGGAGCCATCGCCACGAGGGCTGACAAGGAGAGAGAGGTGGAATCCTGGGGGTTTGGGAGGCCCGGCCTGAGTGTTGGACTTCATCCCGCCTGAATGCGCCAGGAGTTAGGGAGGGGCCTGGGCCCCGGAAGACCTGCCCAAACGGAAGACGGCTCCAGCTGCCCCCGGGGAAATGGATCAGAACAGGAGGGGTTCTGAAGCAGAGACGCAACCCATCTAAGTGGGCAGATAGGGCAGCCCGGCTTAGGGAAGTGGCCCCCGGGAGGGCACCACGGACACATTCAAAAGTGATTAGAAGCGGAGAGACCGAGGAGGGCTCAGCTGTGACGAAGGCTGGGGAGAAGGAGGCTGGGACCAAGCTCAGATTTCTGGCCTGAGCACCTGGATGGAAGAAGGGGTTTCAGATTACTCCTGCGCGGGGCTGCTTTCCCGGGCAAGGCTCCAGCGGGGCAGGAATTCTCCTGTACGTGATTGGATTTGGTCCCTGGGACTACGCTGTGTTTTGAAGTTACTCCTCTGAGGCCACACAGCCAGCAGCGAGTGAAGGAGCAGTGGTTTCAACCCAGGTCTGTCTGGCATCTGTCCACTCTACCACACCCACTGGGCTAGACGTCTCGTCCTTCCCAGAACCTTCCTGCCACCGCAGGCTGGCAAGCCCGGGAGCCACCCCGTGACTGCCAGCCCCTGCAGCTGCCCAGTGCCACCTCCCTGGCAGAACCTCTGGCCCCCTGCTCCTGCTGGAAGTGGGCACGACGGGTTTGAATGCATTGCATCATGCTATTAGCCACATCTCTCGCTGCTCTTATCTGTAGGCACTGTGTTCTCTCTTTCCTGACAACATTGCCTGCTCTCTGTGGGATGGCTCCATCCTTGGCACTCCCCACTTGCTGGGCAGACCCAGGCTGCAAGCTCTCACCTCCTGTTGCTTTGTAAGAGAAAACCAGGGAAAAACAACCAAACAGTGCTGGACTGACTTCCACACGTCCCTCCCAAATTCATATCCACCTGGAACCTCAGAATGCAACCGTATTTGGCAGTGGGGCCTTTCCCGGTGTGATCAGTTGAGGGCAAACTAGAGAGGGGTGGGGTCTGCAGACTGGTGAGAAAACAGATGAGCTACACGGAGAGCACTGGGCGGCAGAGGCACATCTCGGAGGGACACTTCTGCAAGCCAAGGGCAGCCAGCAGTGAGAAGCTCGGAGGCAGCGGGGAGGGAGGGATCCTTCCTCAGAGCTTTGCAAAGGAACACGGCCCCGCAAACACCTGGGTTTCAGACCTCCGGCCTCCAGGACCGGGAGAGAATGAGCTGGCAGCCCTGGGGAACCAACACGTGCACACTCCAGCCCAGCAGCGATATCTTGCACAATAAATAGTTGATGAATGAATGAGTCTATGAGATCAGGGGATGTTAATACATACAAAACAACCCGGCCGCCAGGATCACCATGTACTGATACATTCCAGAAGTTGGCACCTCCTCAGACCCTAACCAAAGTTGACAGCTGTTTAATAATTCAATGGCACACACACAGGGGAAAAAAGCAACGAACATTTTTAAAGCCATGAGTTTCCCACAGCATTTAGAGAAGACCTGATTTTGGAGCCATCACTCTCCTTTCTACAAAGGAAAGCAAAGTAACATTGGCCACATTGATACAAGGTTTCAGGACACAGGACTGAGACACAGACCTGCTTGCATCAGAGCTAAGGTTAGCCCGTTGTGAAAGGCAGAGTTAAGACACAAATGAGCTCTCCGGCTCCCAAACCCACAATCTCCCCTCCAGGTCAAGGATGCCGCAGAGGGAACCAGGAGAATGACTAGATGGACCCCCCCCCCCCCACACACACCCCATATACCTCAGCTCCTTCCACTCTTTTCCACCCCACCCCACCCCCAATCAGGAACCTGGGGGCTCCAGGCATTGAGCTGGTCATGGGTGCAATGCACTGCACACTTCAACATGTCCTGCTCACTCTGATGCTGGCGCGACCCAGTGTATGGACCTTCCTAGGAGGAAGGCCCACAGAGGGAGGCTACTGCCCAGGAGGACAGCCCTGCAGGTGGTAGGGACCGTTTGGAAGGTAGGGGTTGAGTGTGGGTACGCAACCTCTCGGGTCTCCGTCCTGGATCGAGTACATGCTGGCACTGTCCCTCTCTTTGTGCACTGCAGTGAGGGGTAAGTGGGCTCGGTGACACATGGCTATAAAATGGCTTTGACACCTTGTGTGGGAGGTCACCCCCGGCCATCTGAACTTTTCTTTGCACAATGCTCCATCAGCTCTGCTGTGAGATCACTGCTTAGGGCTACGCTGGGGGGCCCTGAACTCACCAGGCCTGGCTTGAACGGATCATCCAGGGACGCTCTGTGCATAGGATCTGTTCCAAAACCACAACCAAGCGGCCAGTGAGGGCCTTTGCTAGGCATTAGCTGGGGAGAAGCCGGGATGGACATTAAGGGTGGGTGCTCACCGACGGCCTTAGTCACCTCTTCAGGTGGGGCTGGCCCGGCTGACTCAGAACAGCCTACAAGGTAACCAGAGCCCCGTGGGGCCAGGTTGCTGGGTGCTCCAAGGACCACGCCCTCTTCAAGTCATCACGGCTGCCTTCTGTGTCTTGGAGCTGTTATTTCCTCAGGGCTCCAGGCTAGAAATCGCAAGCCTGCTTTCACGCCTCTTTCTTTGTCCACACTCGCACCCTGCCATTCGAGACCTGAGACCTGTCGCGTCTCTACCTCCTTCCTCACTGCACCACCCTCGCTGGGGCCCCAGAGGCCTCATTCTCAGCCTTCGTAAAGACTTCCTCATCTCTGGTCTCTCTCTCCAGCCCATGTGTGTACGGGATACCCTGATGTCTGATCAGCGCCTCAGAAATACTGAAGCCACCGAGTGGACTCAGCGCCCGGCCGCTCTCGAGGCAGGACAGGGAGCAACCCCTCAGCTCGTCACTGAACTGGCTCTTCCTGCTGCAGATCCACACTGGGGGCTTCCAGACACAGCCACGCCAGGGGCTTCCAGACACAAAGGCCCCGCTGCCTCAGCAAGAACCTGCTCCTGATGGTGGCCCCAAACACTAGCCACGTCCTTTCCTGTCTAAGAGTCCAGTTCCTCTCATCCCACTCATGCCCACTTCACACCCACTCCTCTGATCTTCCGATCAGAGCTCTAGAGCTCAGGGCTTGGGGCAGCCTGGCAGGTCGCTGGGGTGGGGGTGGGGATGGTAGATCTCTGCATGTGCCCTCATTGGCATACTCTGGGCCTGGTCAGGCAGCCCCCTGGCCACTGGTGCCGCCCCTGTCCTAGGACTGTGGTCCCAAAGAGGACAGGTCTGCCCGCAGGACCAAAGCTGCTGTCTGTGGCCCCGGGGCCTCACACACAGCCGGAACGCAGGTGCGGCTCAAGCACAGAAGAGGGTAGGGCATCACTGGTCCCAGCTGTGCGGGGTGCGCTTTCTCACTTCTTTTTACACGGTCACGTGTCTCATCTTCTCCATCACTGGGCAGGCCAAGGTCATGGAGGTGACTGGGAGAAGGAGGGGCAGGGTCCTGAGGCCCCTCTCAAGGCCTGTCCACCGGTCCACCTGCTAACCCCATGCAGCCCTGTACAGCCCCCACCCAGCTGCCCCTGAGACACTCCATGGAAGCACGCTCTGAACTGAGTGTGACTGAGCATTTGGGGGAGGCACCAGGGTTTTCCTGGGGACCAGCCAATGGCAGGGAAAAGCAAGCATGACGGCACGTGTGCACAGGAATCGGGAATGACCCACCAAGAACAGGTGATCAGGACAGCTGATAGAGGCCTGAAGCCAGCAGTACAGTCCCGGAAATCTTTGTGAAAACACCACCCCCAGGGCCATGCTAACCCCAGGGGGTGGGGGTGACAGAGCGTGGAGGTCCTCACTCTGCTCGCTGGGCACCAAGCTCGGAGCACCCACTCCCTTCACAGGCCCGAGAGCCCTCCGTTCCGTCCCTCAGGACTCGTCTCCGTGCCCCCGAGAAGCAGGTGCCAGCCCCACTTCATGGCCAAGGAGACTGAGGCCCCCAAAGGCACAGGCACTGCCTGGCTGCAGGCCCTTGAGCCCCAAGGGCAGAGGCGGCACACAGGCAGTGCTGGGTACTTGTTCATTTTCACAGCGCGCCCTCTACCCCTTTCCCCGCAGAGTCAGCTCTGAAAGGTGAGAGGACAGGGCTGCCGTGCACCCAGCCTGGGACCCTCAGCCAGCCCACAGGCCCCCGAAGTGTGTGGAGTAGAAACTCCGCTGCACACAGCAGTCTGTTCACAGGGACGCCCCACGCCTTCAGCGGGTCCCTTCTACCTGCAGCCGAGGACTCAGAGGCAGAGCCTGGAGCCCAGGGCCCCTCTGCTAGGCCATCCCTTCATCAACAGCTGTTGAACTGGGCTTCCCACTCTGCTGGGTGGGGTTTCTCCTCAAAAAAAAAAAAAAAAAAAAAAAAAAAAAAAAAAGTAGCCCGCAGGGAACTCTGCATTGCAGTCTTGCTTTCATAAACCAGGAGATGAATCTCCTAGTCCAGGGGGCCACTGGCTCAGCCTTCCACATGGACAAGCCTCTCCCCGCTGGGCCCGGCGTCCTCCATGGCAGAGCACGAGGACCGGACTGGATGACTGCAGAGATCTGCTCTCACTCAGAATGCCTTGTTCCAGCAAACCTGCCTCGCAGCACACCGCGCCGGCCGAGCGCGGCTGGGGCGTCGCTGGGGGTCGCGTCCCTCCCTGGGCGACTCTCTTCTCTGGCCCCCTCTTCCCACTCTGCGATGCCTCCCCCTCCATTATCTAACTTCTCTTGTTTCTCTAAAAGCCACAGAGAGAGATGTCAACAGATCTGATCCTTGAAAATCCAAGACGAAAACCAGAAAGCCCCAATGTAGATGCACACAACAGACCGAACTGAGAGAGAAAAGTATAGAAGAGTGTACAACACCGTGAGAAAATGGAAACCATTGGGGTTGAGCTCAATAATAATGTAAATAAGCTCATGTTTGAAAAACACACATGGTTAAATCTTTGTGAATTCTGAGCCAGGGAAGGGCAGAGTGGAATTGGGGTATGTGTGTGTGTACCTGTGTGTACCTGTGTGTCTTCATGTGTGTCTGTGTGTCTGTGTGAGTGTATCTGTGTATCTTCATGTGTCTGTGTGTGTGAGTGCTTGTGTATCTCTGTGTGTCTGCATGTGCGTCTGTGTGTATCTGTGTGTATGTGTGCATGTGTCTATGTGAGTGCATGTGTGTATCTGTGTGTGTCTGTGTATATACATGTATATCTGTGTGTTTGTGTATGTATCTCTGTGTGTATCTGTGTGTGTCTGTGTGAGTGCATGTGTGTATTTGTGTCTATATATGTGTCTGTCTGTGTGTGTATGCAAACACCTTAACAGAGGGATTGGACAAAGTGATGGTGGAAAGCCCATTACAGACCGCAGTACGGAGATGCATGGCAGCTTATTTGATAAAACCTTTGCCTAAAAGCAAAGGTAGTTTTTTCTTATTACAATTAAATGGTGTAGTAGTGATGGTTCAAATAATTCCTGCCATCTACACGGGAGTCCTGGTTTCCAGTTTGTGTCCTATGAGCCATGTTGTTGTGGGTGTTCGGGGGGAATGAACCAGTTAATGTGATCTCTCTCTCTCCCTCTTTCTCTCTTTCTGCCTGTCAAATAAATACATGAAAACTTGTAAATGTGTTTAAGTAGAGTGGCAGCTACACATAGGCATGCCCACAGAGCCTTTTTAATAATAACAGATACCTGACTGCAATGAGAGAGGGAGGTGGGCAAGGGAGACAGCAGACACGGTGGCGACACGGGGAGCGGAGGCCAACTGACGCCAAGCTGGGAGCAGCCAGGCGCTCCAGTGCTGTGATCAGAATGTCCGTGCCCCTGCGATTCCTACGCTCAGGGCTAACGGCCAATGTGATGGGGTCTTGAGGCGGGGCCTGGGGAGGTGATCAGGCCACGAGCGGAGCCCTTGGGAATGGCATTCATGCCTTAGAAAAGAGGCCCCAGAGAGCTGCCCTGCTGCTCCTACCACGTGGGGACGAGCCGGGGGTGCCATCAGTGCCTATGGTGGGGAAGCAGGATGTTGGTGGCGATGACCTGAGTGTCTGGGTCAGAAAGATCCAAGCTGGGAACCTGGCTTTGCCACCTGCCAGCTGTGTAGGGAAGAGTGGGGAGATTACTCGAGTGCCCCATCCTTTGTTGGGGGAGTTGGAGAACTCGTGTCTAAATGTCCTGTTCATCACAGGTCTTAATCCAGCAGAGTTACTTTTGTTAGCAGCTATCTGAGCAGACTGCCAGGGGCAGGGGAGGTCAAGGGAAAGAGAAGATGGGAAAAGGAAGATCTCAGGGAGTGGATTCGGAAGAAGAAATTCTGCCTCCTACCCTCCTGTGATTTCTTAGACGTAAAAGCCCAACATGAAAAGAGCGCACAACCAGGCAGGGCACTGTGGATGGCTGGCGTCAGGTTTACCAGTTGTTCCTCATTCACTGAGTCCCACTGTGCGGATCGCACTGTTAGTGCTGAGGGCACAGGGACAGACCAGAGAAGAACAGGATGGCAGAATGAGCACCGGGTGTTGGGACTAGAAGCTCTGGACTGGGCCTCGAATTCTACACTTGGAATGGGCGTGTTTACGGCATGTGAATTACATCTGGTTACAAACAAAAGTCCTGGGTTACATTATTCCCAGCCACGTGGCCTCGAGAGAGCCAGGTAGGGTCTCCTCAAGCCTCAGTCACTTTCCTGCCAAAATCCTACCTCTCCCTCGATAATAACACGTGCATGAAACCAACCCCATGGTTTGCCATGAGGACCTCCCTGAAAACGAAATAACGTACCCAGCAAGCGCTCTGTAAACTGGAAGGCACTCAGATGGGGGCCCCATCACAAGTCCTTTCTGCTCTGATAGAGGTAGAGTCTCAGAGGAGGGAGCCATGAGTGAGCTGGAGCAGTAGGAGAACTCTTAGAAGGCGTGGGATTAAGTGACACGGACTGAGCCCCCCATCTACCCACGCAAAAGGAAGGTGATGGAACACACACTAACTCTCAGATCACCAGGTCCCGAGACAAACCCTGCTCCGTCACTCCCTGGCCCAGCAACTGTTGGCGAGCACTTCGTGTGGTCATCAGTAGAACGGGAACCACGCCCCTTCCCTAGAGAGCTGTTTTATAAGGGTGCCATACGAGACACACTTGGCACGGTACCTGGCCTGTAGTAGGTGCTGACAGTGGCATTAACACTGCCTGTCAGGCTGCGGGGTTGGTCATCGGCTGGGCAGACTCTGGGGAGCCGTGCTGGGTTTTGTGCAGGGGGTGATGTGGGAAACACACACTTCACCAGAGGTGCTGCTGACAGTGTGGGCCACCTCCTCCCATGGGAAACAGCACAGCACTAGAATTGGCCTCTACTCCATGTGTGAGCCTGCAACCCAATAGGCTCCTGCCCCAGCCCTAGCGCTCAGAGGCCCCAGTCTGCACACCCAAGTTCTGATTACCAGGACCCCCACTGGCCACCTTAGTCATTCCCAAGGGTAGGGGTGTGGACGCTGAATCTGTTCTCTGTCCTAGGGAGGCTTACCTAAGGGACAGAACAGTGCAGGCCCTGGAAGTCAGCAGAAAATTCCAGAATCTTGTAGGAGACTTAAACGAGGAATGGCATAGCAAGTGCACTTGGGGAGATGGGGACTCCCACACCATGGGGCAGGGGTGCACAGAAGGGAGGCCCTACAGGCTGGGCCGGGCCAGGCGGGTACCTTTGGCCAGGGAGATGTTCCTGAGCGCGATGGAGTGCTCCCAGTCCTTGAGGCGCAGGTCCTCGGTGACGGTGTTGAGCATGGCCAGCTCCTGCTTGAGCTGCAGCTCCATGCCCATGTGCACCAGCCGCATGCGGCGCGTGTCCTCGCTGGCATTGCTCACCAGCACCTGCAGGTCCTGCAGCCGTGTGCTGTGCAGGGCCACGTCGTAGGACAGGCTGTGGTTGAGGCCACGCAGCGCACCGCCCACGTCGGCCAGCTCCTCGCCCAGGACGTCCACCCTGCGCGCCAGCCCGTCCAGCATTCCCGCGTGGCGCCGCAGCAGCAGCTGGCTGCGGTTGCTCTCCACCTGCAGCTGGTACAGCTCCAGCTGCACTGTGTCACTCTGCTGGCCGGTGCGGTCGCGCAGCAGGGCCACCGCCTGCTCGGTCTGCGCCGCCTGGGCTTGCAGCCCCCACAGTGCGCCTTCCAGCCGCTGCACGGCGCCCGCCAGTGCCAGCAGTGAGTCTGTCTGGTTCTGCATCGCGTCCTGCACCTTCCACACCTGCTCCATCAGGTCCGCCTGCAGTGGCGCCTGCAGCAGCCGCAGCTGCAAGTCCCGGAAGCTCTCGTTCAGCCGGTTCACATTCCTGGTCAGCGCCTTCAGGTCGTCCGGGGAGCTGCGGGGCCTGGACACTGTGGAGGAGGAGCGGAGATGTGAGCACCATTGGGGAGCAAGGTCCTGGCTAAGATTAATCAAGCCTGACCAGAGGCTGGCATTCAGTAGGTGCTTAATCAAGGAGAGCTGAGTGGAAAGCAGAGGTGGCTAATGTTGAGCGTTTCAGTAGCCCCCAGGTGTTGTACCCGTCTGCCCACTAGAATCACCTGGCCAGGTGGCCCACCTGCGGGAAGTGTGATTTAATTGATGGGGATGAGACCTGGACTCTGGAGTTTTTCAAAAGATCTCAAAATGAGTCTAAGCTGCAGATAAGTCTGATTGGCCAGACAGATCTCAGCACTGGGTGTCAGGTGGGCACCCATGAAACTGACATTTCTGCATCCTGAAAAGTGGTGAGGATAGCAGCAGTTTTGTGTAGGATAACATCGGGTTCTGGGTGCTGTGACTGTCTCAGCTTGAGGAGCTAAGTTCCTGTTAGGGTCTCAGTGTGTCCCTCCCCACTCCATGCATAGGTGGACACTTAACTGCCAAGGCGACAGTATTAAGAGGTGGGGCCTTTAGCAGGCAACTAAGCCAGGACACAGGCCTCGTGAATGAGATCAGTGACCTTATAAAAGGGGCGAGGGAGCTGTTGGCCCTCTCTGCCTCTGGACACATAGGCGGTACCAGCTCTGAGAACCAGGCCCGCAGTGCTGAGTTTGCTGGCAACCTTGACCTTGGGCCTCCATCCTCCAGCACTGAGCAATACATTCCTTTCTTTGTAAAAACTGATTTATTTATTTGAAAGGCATGGTGACAGAAAGAGAATGAGAGGGAGAGCAAGAGTGAGAGAGATCTTCCACCTACTGGTTCAATTCCCAAATGACCAGGACGGGCCAGGCAGAAGCCAGGAGTCCAGAACTCTATCCAGGTCTCCCACATGGGTGGCAGGGGCCCAAATAATTGGATCATTACCCACTGCCTTCTCAGGAGAATTCGCAGGAAGTAGGACTGGAAGCAACGGAGCCAGGACTCGAGCCAGCACTCTGATAGGGGACGTCAGCTTCACATGGGTGGCTGAACGCACAGCCCCATGACCCCAGCCCAGCAATACGTCCCTGCTGTTGATCCAGTCTATGGTGTTTGGCTCTAGCAGCCTGAGTAGCAGACTGAGACAGTGCCATGGTTATCCCTTTGCACAGTGAGAGCCATCAATACTGCCCAGAGCGGCACAGAGAGTGAGTTGGAGCCCAAAGGACTTGGTCCAGAGCCTGGGGGCTTCCCCTTGCGTGGGCTCCAGAGCTGCCTAAAGGAATACCACCCCCTGAGCCAGGCTCAAGGTGGCAGCACTGATTTTACTACTTCCGAGTTCAGGGCTCACAGGTGGCAGCCAGGACCCATGCGGGCAGGTGAAGAACGCTATTGTATCTATCCACATCCTCCCTTGTCTGCGCCGTCAACCCTCCCTGCCAGTCCCTGGTTTCCTTCCTCAGCAAACTCCCACCTCAGCAATCCTCCTCTAGTGCCTGGCTCCCTTTCTCCGTTAATGAGCCGCAGTTGGTTTCACAATAGCAAGAGGAGGGGGCGTCTCTGTCTCTATACTCTGGCATGCCTGTGGCTCCTTGGGGTTTGGGAACTGCCGTCCTCAGGTGCACGACAAACCCTGCAATGATAGGTCCAGGGATGCTTGCTGCCTTGCTTTGCTCTGCAAACCAGAGAAATGGCAACTAGTAGTGGCGCGGCGCAAAACAGGAGCTGGGGCCAAAGAAGACTCAGGGGGCATGCTGCCTGGACATCTGGGAAGGCAGTGAACCGGGCAACTTGGTACCCAGCTTGTTTGAATAATAAGAAAATCTGGACCAAATCAATTCTCTTCCAGGGCTTCATGTTTGGAGGGAGGGAGCTGAGTTGGGAGGATTCTTGGGCCACATGAAGCCCAGCTGCCGCGATCCTGCAGTGACGCTCCTGGAAGCACACAGCACTGGAGGCGACTGCCCTGCAGGAGAGACGTCACTTCTGGCTAGGAAGGGCTGGAAGGGGACCTGGAGCCCTGTCTCAACTTCTTCTGGACCTAGTGCTTTATTTTTTAATTTTAAAAAAGATTTATTGGGGTCGGCGCTGTGGCGCAGCGGGTTAAAGCCCTGGCCTGAAGCTCCGGCATCCCATATGGGCACCGGTTCAAGACCCGGCTGCTCCACTTTCCATCCAGCTGTCTGCTATGGCTTGGGAAAGCAGTGGAAGATGGCCTAAGTCCTTGGGCCCCTGCACCCATGTGGAAAACGTGGAAGAAGCTCCTGGCTCCAGGCTTCAGACTGGCACAGCTCCGGCTGTTGCGGTCGTCTGGGGGGAGTGAACCAGTGGATGGAAGACCTCTCTCTCTCTCTCTCTGCCTCTCCTCTCTCTGTGTAACTCTGGCTTTCAAATAAATAAATAAACCTTTTTTAAAGATTTATTTAAATAATAAATAAATAAATCTTTATTTATTTGAAATAAAGACAGGGAGAGTGGAAGAGAGAGGGAGAGTGGGAGAGAGAGCGAGAGAGAGAAAGAAAGAATCTTCTATTCACTGGTTTATTCCCCAAATGGCCACAATGGCTGGGGCTGGGCCAGGAAAAAGCGAGGAGCCAGGAATTCCATCAAGGTCTCCCACATAGGTGAAGGGGTCCAAGTATCCAGGCCATCTTCTGCTGCTTTCCCACGGGCATTGACAAGGAGCTGGATTGGAAGTAGAGTAGTGGGGACTTGAACCGACGCCCACGTGGGATGCTGGTGTAGCAGGTGGCAGCTTAACCTGCTGCACCACAGAGAGCCACACAAAAAGTAGTCACCCAAACTTGGCTTACAGCAGCCTTTGCACTTCCGGTTAGTTCTAAGTGCTGGGAGGTTCTACAATTTGCTCAGACTTGCAGTTTGCCTCCCTAAAGTCAGTTCTTTGATACTGCCCGTTGGGGTTATGGAGGGTAAAGGGAATATTTTTTCCCCAACAAGACAGCCCTTCAGAATTTCAAGAAGTTTTCACATTCTTGCTGCCTGGTAACGTTTCTGTTTCGAAGTCTGCCATTCCTTCATTTATTTTCTTGAGACTGGGTTCTAAGTCTCCACACACCCTCGCTGCCTTTTTCTGCACAGATTCCAGTGTGCCAGCCTCCCTGGGAAGGCGGTGCTTCACAAGCTGAGCTTTCCCAAGGGTGGACAGACTCCATACCGTGTCTCATCCTGGGACAGCTCGCTGCCCTGAGGTGGCCCCACCTAGGCCTGCTCAGCGGCATCAGGCTCTGCTGAGTTTGGCCACTGGGTCAGGTGTACGCAGGCCCTGGGGAACTGACCTTTCCCCATTTTACAGAGGGGGAGACGGAGGCAGGGGGTGGTGCCTGGTGGCGAGACTCTCAGCCCCTGCCACAGGGCTCAGTCCCAGGGTTCCGCTCAGGAAGCGCCGCTATGGAGCAGTCAGGACAAGCAAGGGTTCCTGGGGACAGGAGCCCCAGAGCGGACCACAGCCCAGGCAGCCTGGGTCTGTGCACTGACGAGACCGCCCCTGCTGGGAGCTGACTCTGAAGCAGCGTCTCTGTCCAACACTGCACCCAACTGGACAAGGAGCATGGAAACAGGATGGGGGATGGGGGGAGGGCAGCGAGCCTGCTGTTTGCGTGTCAGCCTCTCCTCACCTGAGCCCTGGGCGCTCAGCATCACCGCGGCCCATCAGAAGCAGTGCCAACACCGAGCTGTGTTGCTCTTGGGTGGAAACTGGGGCTGGAAGTCACTGAGGGAAACAGCGCGGCCTCCCTCATGAAAAGCTCAGGGCTGGTTGAAGACTGGGTTTGCCCGTGAAGGGGGCAGCTTCCTGCCTGCCATTCTGTCTCCAGTCCCCTGGCCCCTGTTTCCTCCCTCAGGGCTCCCTGTGCCTTCCTGGTCCTGTGTGCCCTGCCCACCAGCCGGCTCCCCGGGGCACCTGCCAGCTCTAGCCACCCCCCCTCTGGGACCCTGCACTGGAACCCTGCCCATGTGGTGACGGCTGAAGGTCAGCTCCCCCTTCCAGAGAGTTCTTGTGGGGCCTTTATGGTTGCCCATTGCACAACCAATATTAACATGAATGCAAATAAAAGCTAGAAAAATTCTTCTACCATCCCACAACCTCCAACAGAGCGCACTGCTTGCGTCTCTTTTCCTTTTTCTGGTCTTCTCCATGTACACACTCCCTCTTGACAATTCGATGTCTGGGTTCGCCCTCCCATCTGTTATTGTTATTATAATTACTTAGCATTTTCCCGTGGTTCTCCCTGCTTTTCATAATGACAATGTTGATGACTACAGGGCACTATGAGAAAACACAGGCTTCCCCTGCTCTCACTCAACATCAACACTGAAGACTTCCGTGACCACATGTGTCGGGACTTTTCCCGCACACCAAGCATGTGATCCATTGTGTGGGATGTCCAGCTCGGTGCCTGTAACTCAGCTCTAAGACTGCGCACCGGGAGGTAGCACCGCCTCCCATGGATGGAGGGCTCAGTCCCCACGCCGGCCCCACCCTCCACCGCGCATCCGGAGCCCCAGGTCGTTTGCTCTACCTCTGCCAGACCGGCTGCCCATCACGGTTTCCACAACCTCTCCTTGGATCTGAGTCAGTCGCTAGAGTGGCTCACACAACTCCAGGAGACACCACGCTCACTGATCCATTATAAAGGATAGTACCAAGGAAACAAAGAGACGCAGAGGGCAAGGTATGGAGGAAGGGGCGCCGGTTGTCATGCTCACTCCAGCCTCCTACTTGTCCCCACCTGTTCCATGATTCCAAGCTCCCCAAACCCGCTCACTATGGATTTTCACAAAAACTTCATTTTGCAGGCATGATTGACCAAGTCATTGGCCATTGGTGATGAACTCAACCTTCAGCCCATCTTCTCTCCCAGGAGGTAGAGGTTGAATACCCCAACCCTCTAATGATACCTCGGCTTTTCAGTGATCAGCCCTCATCTTGGGGTTCCCTGGGGACTGGCAGCCACTAGCATCAAAACAACAGTTATCCCTGTGCAATTTC